ATGCTCGTTCATGCACATATTTGACTCCTGAAATAACTTAAGGTGTAATCCTATGCATGTGTAGATGAAACGGGGTTTACAATTCCATGCCCCAGCAAGTTTTTCTACCTCAATTTGCATCAGATTGTTTCCTTAGTGCCCTGCATTTATAAGTAAATGTAATTATTCTAATTAGATTATATTTACACCCTGACTTTCTTCCTCTTGCAAGAAACCCAAAGTGGCTTGCAAGTTTCTCTTCCTCTCCATTTTCAGCCTCACAACACCACCACCACCACCACCAATTGAGGCAGGTTAGATTAAGAGTCCAAAGTCACCCAGTGAGCCTCATGGCTGAGTGAGGACGGAATCCAGATCTCCTGGGTCCTAGTCCAAAGCCACTATATCGTGCTGTGAGCCGCTCAGAGAGCCTCTGAGTGGCATACAAATGTGATAGTTAGATAGATAGATAGATAGATAGATAGATAGATAGATAGATAGATAGACAGACAGACAGACAGACAGACAGACAGACAGACAGATAGATATAGATACCACACTGGCTTTGTCTGCCATATAGGCACAGGCTTAGCTACTGGTTTCTTCAGATCTCCCAATCAAACCTTTGTAAATAATTAGAACAACGCTTTTAGACTACAGAAAGAAACTGGCTTCTCCTTTCTTCTCCCAAGGGACCTTGAGAAAATGTGGTAGTAGCAGAGGTACAAGGATCTCTAATGCAATATTCTCCAGTGCCTTGTCAAACTACAGTTCCCATCACTCCCTGGGGAAAGCCGTGACAGTTCAACTGGCAGAAAAGCAAGGTAAATCTGCTGTATTATGAAATGGCTTGAACATTTTGTGTTATCTTTTCTCTTCCTCCTTCATACAACACATGCCTTCTTTCAACCATAAAAGATATCAGTGCAGAAGTTATAAGTTTCACTTATCAATGGAAATACAAAGGCTTTAAAAGGTGCACCTGTATTATGCAAGAGTGTTTCCTGTCTTGGAGCAATACAAATCATCCGTCATTTCAGAAGGACAAATACGATCCATCTAAGTGACACAGCTCATCTGGCACAGGTTCATTTTTCTCCTGGATGCAATGTCTACATAGTGGGGCAGAATGCCAGGAGCCACATCCACATAGGAAGTAACCCAACCCAAGATAAAGGGATTAAACAAAGTGAAAGGAATCGTTTCTTCATTATTTGCTCTAATCTTGCAGCTTGGTCACCTGGAAATGTGTTGGATCTCAAGCATTCGGCCAAGGAACGTGTAGGCAACTGAAGGAGACAGACAGGTTTGCATCAGCCATGCACTCCAGAGGAATTTTTCAGCAGTTGCCAAATAATCCTGAGGTGGTAAATGTCACCTGCATTAATACAGGTGTTCAGTCCTGGAAGAAAAGACTTCACGCCTGCTTCTGAAAAACGGCTTCACTCAACGTTCCATTATATGGCAGGATGTGAAGGTGCTGACATATGAGATGAGAGTGACAGCCGGGCTTAGTCAGAAAGTCATGAGCTTGACGCAGGAAACATTAGCTGAGCGAGAGAGACAGGGAGCCGTTCTCCATCCCTTTCCCTTCTTCACAACGCAAGATGCATTGCAGCAAGAGGAGAGCAGAGCAATGCACACCAGGGTTTGTCGGCAGCAGAACAACCACGTCATCTTACAAGCACAAACGGTTCCTCAGAAGAAGAGATGGAGCAGGGAGAGCAACTGGCCGATCCATGCCACTGATAATGACCCTGGTCAGAAGGAACAGCAGTGTCTAGGCAGGGGTTAATTGACCCACAAATTTCAACCCTACGTGCAATTTGTTTGCTCTTGGTTTAAGTTGTGATATGAAGTTGTGCCTGTGCAGACATCATGGAGGAAATGACAAAAGGCATAATCATAGGTTGTTCCAGGAAATCAGAAAGTGGCACGCATTGCCGCAATTCGTTAATTAATTCATTCACCCACAAATTGCAGGGGAGTGCACCACTTCTGGGAACACTGGCGGCACCCAGCAGCCATTCATGGGTTAATTAAATTAATTGACCCACAAACTGACCAAGCACCATGGTTACATGCAAATAGGTTACGGAATAGCTCTCAAGACCCATGGCCTGATAGTGAAAGACATTCTTTCTTCCAAAAGCAGTGATTTTAATCTTCTGGAAGTTATCTTAGGAAATACCTTTGAATACTGATGAAACAGAAGACACTGCTGACAAATGAATGCCAAAATGTGGGTGTTTTGCTTCAGGTTTCAATTCTTTCTTATGCAAAGTATAGTTGCTATCTCAGAGAAGTCATCAAGGACAATTTTACTGAACAAACATGGATTTTCCAAAGTGAAGTCAGAGTGGTAGCCAAGATCAAATGCACAGGATGCTAGTCATGCAGAATCAGATACCATTAGTCCAGAAGGCAGAATCAGGCAGAAGCCCAAGCATCAATAATACGAAGGTACAAATGCAAGTCAAGGTCAGGAAAACCCAACACAGGGCTGAAGCAGTTATCTTCAGCTCAGGCTATGCCAATAAAGCCAGCTCATATTACGAGAGCCTCCTGAGCCCCGCACAAGGCTCAGCTTCAGAACATGACAAACTTGCCCTTGAGGGATTCTCCCTTGTTGAGGAGTTCCTTGGAGTGAAGCTCTTCTTAAAGAAGGCCTTCTGATTTGCTCCGCAAGGCAGTAACACCGTCTAGGACTGAGGAGTCACTCAGCCGCTTGTCTCCATAGCACAGTTCCTCTCTGTCTGTGAGGATAAGCCTATGGTCCTCTCCCCTGAAAGCCCATTCCCCCACAAGTTTCCTGATTTGGATGGTTCCACACCATTCTCCCTCTCTGGGAACTGTAGCTTCTTGGGGGAGGATTCCTCCAGTAGGATCATGACAATCTGTTATCCCGAGAATAACCTATCATGCATGTTTCTTCTGTCTTACTCTCTTTTCCTCTGCCTCAAAGGGACAATACAGTCAGAAAACTGTAGAGAGAGTTTCTCTCTATTGTCTACACATTAACATTTTCCTTTGGCTCCTATAGTATGTGAGATTTTACTTCCAGCTATTTTTATCCTTATGTTTTAAGAAATACATATCACTCTTTCCTCAGCCAAACACACTATTTATAAGTCCATCACTGCACTTGAAATTCAGGTATAGAACATCGTCACCCATCCATTTCCTGCAATGAGATTATGATCTATCTCCCCAGGTGCCACTATTTCTTCTTATTTTTATGATTTTGTTAGCACATTTATCCCATCCTGTTTCTTCTTGCAAGGAACACAAGACAGTTGCTGCTGGTGTTGGTGATGATGATGAGGATTACTATTATTTTCCACCTATTCCCAATTCTGGAACTTGTAAAGGTAGTTTACAAATAAAAATTTATACAGTGAGAGCATAAATAGAAATATACAAAAGTTAAACATATAATGAAATTAGTAGAATACTAAAATTATATAAAATACCAAAATAAAATGCTAATAAACACATAGAAAATAACTAGTCCAATGCAGACTACTCTCCACAGCCTGCCAGAACAGTAAGGTTATATAGCCTGCATCCGAAAGACTCAACAGGGAGGGCACCAACTCTGCCTGGGAGAAGAATACCAGAGCCTTGGGGCAGCCAATATGAAGGCCCTCCCATCTTTTCACCAAGCGTGCCTGCGAAGGCGGTGGACTAAAAGAAGTGCCTCCCCAGTTGATCTTTTTGCATGGGCAGGCTCGTAAGGGAGCCTGGACCCATGCTGTGCAGGGCTTCATGAAGTCATAACCATGGAGCTGTGCCAGCCTGTGAGGCGTTCAGTGAAGGAGCCGTTTGCTCAGTCAACCGAACCAGATGGAGTCTCCAGCCCATCAGTGGCAAGCCCACACACAGGATCCAAATGGGATGCGACTAAGGCGTGCTTCCTTGTGAACAAGCCCGACACCTCCAGCACAGAGCACAGCTGGCACGCTAGCTTTCACACTCTGAGCCACCTTTGAGGCTTGGGCACCCAGGATCAGGCTCAACTCCAGGAATATACCCGTGTCTTTGGGGGAATGTCACCCCATCCAGCCCAGGCTGAATACCTATTCCTTGATCCACCTTCCAACCCACCAGGAGTGCCTCTCTGTTGCCTGGATTAAAGTACAATTTGCTTGCCCTCCTCCAGTCCATTACTGTCAACAGATGCTGCCAACAGCTTCCTTGGCATGAGGGGGAAAAGGAAAATTGAGCTGGATGTCAGCAGCATACTGGAGACGATGGAGCCCAGAACTCCAGGCAGCCTCTTCCAATGGTCTCACCCTTATCTTAAATAGCACGGTGGGCAAAACAGAACCCTGTGAAACTCCACAGGCCAGTGGCCACAGAGGTGGAGTCCCCCAGTACCACCTTCTGGGGTCTGATTTTTACCCCCCGACTCCCAAAATTGTTGCAGCTGGAAATGGGGTGGTGCTTTGCTGGACCTGAGCGGGAAGGCTCATAGGCAACGTCAGACCCCAGCAAGGGAGTGGCAGTAGCAGCAGCAGCAGCAGCGCCAGAGGACAAACTTGCCAGGCAACAGTGCAGAGCTTCTGCCCCTTGCCATTTGCAAGTGATGGCTGACATGGCCCTCCTCCCGTTTTATCCTCACAGCAATCCCGTGAGGTAGGACAGAGTCAATGACTGGCCCAAAGTCATCCAGTGAGTGTCATGGCCCAGAAGGGCCTCGAACCCAGGCCTGCTGAGTTCCAGTCCAACTGCAACGCAACTCTGACTCTCCCTGCGCCCTCTTGCATCAGCAAGGCAGTGGAGTACCCACCACCAGCAACCCAGCATCAAGCACATGCACTATTACAAAGCATTGCGTTAAACAGGAATCTCACTTAGGAATGCCCAGACCAAAACAGCATCTGTGGCCCAGTGGCCCACACGAGCCTATCGTGCACCACCAGACAGAGGAGGCCGAGCCTCACCACCCACTCCGAGGCATGGGTGGAACCCCTCCTGGCTCACCCTGGGAAAACCAACTCTTGCTTAATACCTCGAGACAGTATGCCTAGCTGGAGTATTCTTAACCAATTCAATTCTTTTGACCACTGCAGATGAACTGAGACCCACTGCTCAGTCATTGAGAAAGTATTCTAGAAGCCTTGTTAGTGCGACTTACCAAAGGACACCAAGAGAACCAATGTGGTGAACAGTTAGAGTGTTGGCCTAGACCCACTGATTTAAAAAATGCCTATATGTCTCTCAGCTTCACTGCCTTCTTGACCTGAAGATCCAGAGATCCTGTGAGAACAGCCCTATATGACAGGAACTGCCCCTGCCAGTGAGCCGCATCACCACAGCCACTCAGTGAAGAACCTGCCAGACTGGCTCCCCCGAGGCTGGCTGTGGTGTCCTCCTGGGCAGGAAGGAAGGTTCCCTCAAGGAGCTTCATTTATTCAACAAGATCTATCTGAGCTCTGGAATGTCTTGTATTGCTTCTGGCTTGTTCTCTGATCCTGAATGCTCCTCAGGCTTGACTCCCAGATCCTGGTCCTAACTCACTCCAGGCTAGGAACCAAAGAATCCACCTATCTTTGGTCCATGGCAGTTTTGCATGTCAGTTCCATCCAATTTCCTCATCGATCTGCAATTTAAAAAATAACAGGTCAACATTTCTATACACTGTTTCCACTAGCATGTGCACTGTGTACACAAATGTCCCTAATAGATACGTTTTGGCATGAACCATTCCCTAACAGACACATTTGAGCCTGCGATTCTTAAGCAGAGGCCTGCCTTCCAAAATCTGGAGAAGTGTGTGAGCCAAAGGATAACTGTCCCATTCCGCACAGGAGTGCAGGATGTGCAAATGAGGTCAGTTTGCTTAAAAATGCAGACCAAATAAAGTCCTGCCCCCCCCAGCCCCCATTTGTAATCCAAACTGTTCTGCATGCCCAGCCTTAATCTTAGGGGCCGAAGGCTCATCAGATAGGCCTAGCATTGTCTGTAGATACTAACCCCCAGCATGCATTAAGTTAGAGGAAACAATGGCACTAAAGAGATTGCAGGTCTATGCATATGTAAAACTGTACAGTTTTCCCTATGCTGCTGATTTTTTTTCTTTTTTTGGAAGGAATGAGAACTTTTCAGATTGCACTTTGCTTCAGCCAGCCACGCATACAGTGCTGACTCAGGATCTGTGATTAGAGGAAAGAGCCATGAGGGAGCTTCCAAAACCATGTGTACCTCCCAAGAGGGAGCCATTACATCTGTTTCGAGGAGGCCTTAAACAGGAGGAATGAATAAGTGGAGGAAAGGATTACAGGAGTCTCTCTCTCTCTCTCTCTCTCTCTCTCTCTCTCTCTGTGTGTGTGTGTGTGTGTGTGTGTGTGTGAGAGAGAGAGAGAGAGAGAGAGAGAGAGAGAGAGAGAGAGACAGAGAGAGAGACAGAGAGAGAGACAGAGAGAGAGAGAGAGAACAAAATGTGGTGGAGGGAAAAAAATCTTATTCTCACTGCATCCCATCAGCACCAAAACGCAAATGCTTTAAAACTTGATCAGGTTTTGACATAGATGTGGTCATACCAGCTGTTAAGAGTAACCAATAGTTAGTTGGAGAGTGTGTCACCAAACCAACTATAGAACTCAGTGGCCTGGAAGTTTGTTGTTTGCTCTGTTTTTAAATGTAGCTGTTGTGTTATATGTTTTGTTCAGGTGTTTCATTATGTTAGGGCATGATCCTCTGACTGGGTGGGAAATGCTGGGAGTTGTAGGATATTATTCTGTGTAAACCTGCACAGGATCACGCCTTTAATGCTTTAATTATACGATGCTTCACATGTCATCAGCAGAGCTTACAAAAATACACACACACCTCAAATAAATAAGCAATCGCTATCACTGAAAGTAAACTATGTAAATTGCAATAGGAAATATTGGCTCTTGCTAAGTATTTCTAATCATCATTTATGCTACGGATAGAAATAAGCACAGAGAAGGAAATAATCTCATACAGCAATCAAGTTATAGCTATAACTGTTAAAAGGCAGAGGGGGATAAGCCGTAAAACATGGCCTTATACTAACACTTTCTAGGGAGAACATAGTAAATGAAGGGTTATCCTTAGAAAGTGCTTATTTTGTATAGTGATTATATTATTCCCTATTCATATAATAAAAGTTTTAAACTTGCCCTCTAGTAATACCAGGCTGCATTTCTCACCCCGACACCCACTGCTACTACAAAGCTGATCTCAGAGTTTTATCATTTTATGGACAATGCATTTGTTTTGCTTTTATGGCCCACAGCACTAGCTTACTGGATGTCATAAACTCCACAATAATTCAAGGCAGATGAAAACAATTCCTCCTGACCAAAATGCCAGTTAGCACACCAAATCCACATCAAGGTACCCAGGAAACAGCATAAGGCCCCTTTGCCACCTGGACAACCACCAGAAACACTGGACTGTGACTCACATCATTCCAAGCCAGTGTGGCCATTAAGGCCACTGGATGGGGATTGTGGGAGTTGTAGTTTAACCAGCCTGGGGGACTGCCTTAAGATGTGAGCTGGAGCAAGCTGCAGGTTTCCTTCTGTAAAAAAGCACCAGTGTTCAGAGCAAGCAAAAGTAACCTTTGGCTCTGCAATCCATGACTGGGGCATGCGATGTTCCAGTTCCATGCCAGACGTTCCATGTTCCCTCGCAGCTTACTGCTAAAGCAGAACAGCAAGGGCAAGAAAGCCACATTCTGTTGAGAAACATAATGGAAATAATGGGAAAGCACTCTGTGCTGTTTGCTAGGAATGCAGCTTGATCACCAGCAGCCAAAACAAATTATAATTAAATGGCAAAAGCAAAGTTGGTATTCTGAAATGATTTGCAAGCATACTCGTGAGCATACAGACATGGTGAGGAAGGCACATTTGCTACAAGGAGAAATTGTCCTTGAACAATTCCCTTAAACTGTTTTCTGGCAAACTAATGTACTTCATTTTCCTCTGATTCCTTTCCCCCTCCTTCCTTTCCCTTAAAATAAATATTTACCGCATTCAATAAAATATATTTCTCCCCACCCCCACTCAATTTATGTTTGCATTAAATAAATCCGTATCTCTTATAGTCTATGATATATATGACTACATGTAGCATATGTATATAACAATATTTGTAGACTCACGTCAATCAAATGATTCATTGAGAATAACACGAATTGGAAATCTGGCAAGGTTTTAAATGAGAGGGAAAGAATTTGCCTGTCTCAAAGCAAGGAAGAGTTCCTTTTAAATCAGTGAGGTTGTCCATTCAATAACCCCTGCTAAACTTTATAATGAACATTCCAGTGAAGTGCATGGCAACCTTACAGCTACGGAACAGAGAACATGTTCAAAAATGCTGCACAGTCTCTCCCAACCTGGGCTGCACCATGCACTGTTTAGATGGCGTTCCACCTCTGGAACACTGACATAAGAAGCAGAATCCAGACTAACTTTCATCCTGCTGTGTTTGTATTCAGAGTGCACTGTGGCATGTCCATTTGTCTTATAACATGGAATTTGTTTAAAATAGGGATGAGTGAAAATGTCACCAAGTTCACATTTTGATGTTACTTAATTCACACTCCCCACATCACAGCTCCAAAATCAGCCGTTTCCCAAATACTGAGGTTGTGTGTGGCAATGTAGGAAAAACGCACAAAAGATGCATTGTGTGCACTTTTCCCTAAATGCACTTTAGGGAAAAGTGTACACATTTCTTTAGCCTATGGGGGTAACTCCAGATCTTTCAAAAATGACTATGAAAAGGGCACACATTTGCAGAGTTTGGTTCAAGCCGATACCAGATATATTCCCATGCAGAAATATTGCAGAATGGCATTATTATTATCATTATCATTATTATTATTACATTTCTATGCCGCCCCTTGCTGAAGCCTCGGGGCGGCTTACAACACAATAAAATACATTGAAATACAATAGAACATAATAAATTACCATTAAATACAAAAATACAAAAAATACACTGAGTTACAAACATAATCATATAAAATTAAAATTATCAGTATAAAATAAGTAAATAAATAATATAGGAGGAGAAAAGAGAAGGAAGAAGAAGTTGCTTTACCATTGCAACTACAACAAAGTGACTAAAAAGGAACCTGACAGTTTTGCCCACCCCTGCTTTAACCACCGCCAACATTCTAGTATGAAAACCTGAAGGGATGCCACCACGAAGTAGCCCAGTTCTCAGCAAATAGCCTGAGCAGAGCAGAACAAGTTACATTTTCTGAATCTGTGTCTGTATCTACATTCTGAATGATGAATGGTCATTTTAAAAAATGAGTAACTTACTGCAATGGTACAAGCTGTGAGAACTTTTAGGTGTGCAATACATACCTGAGTTTGATTTCTTTGTTGAAAGCAAGTTTTCTATTATTTGCATTTATTTATAAAATAGGCAGGGTGCGTAGGAAGTGGGTGGAGCACAGTGTCACAGTCACAGAGACAATCTCAGTTCTTTCTTGGACTTTTTTCTCCCCGCTTGCTGTTTCTTCCCACACACATAGCTTGAGGTCATCCAGCTGAAATCATAATTGCATAATGATACTGATGCTTACTGAAAGATCAGAAGTGAGCCAGTATTTAGCCAATAGATTCTCGTAAGGATCATTGTGCATTATCATCGGACTTTTTTTTAAACATGCAAGTGGCTGGTTTCAAAAGGACCTGTCTCTCCAGCTCTATGATTCTATTTGTTCTCTAGCTTAGCAGACACAGAGCGAAGCCATACCAAGCCATGGGATGGGGTGGCACCCACTGGAGGGCCAATTCTGCACAACTGACTTCAGTCCAAACAGGCTGGCCACTAATGCTTTTGGCAAAGTGATCATTTTGAAGCACCAACCAGTATCTGTCCTTAAACCTGTCACTTACTAATACAGCAGAATGGCATTTGCTAAATTTTCATGGAAAGTATGCAGACATAACATTGCTCTTTAGACTTACAATTCATCTATTGTGCTGGATAGTGAAAAGTATTTCCATAAGTTTCTTCCACAGAATTGGTTGATGTAAGGCTATGCCCACTTCCAGGTGAGGCTTTTATGGTGCATTCACTCTGCCTCGTTCAGAGAATTTTACAGGGGGATGCAGACAACTATGTCTTCCATTTGCAGCCCTCACATGCTGTCCTATCACTTTTCCTGTCCTTTTGCTTCCCTGAACATAATCTGTAAAGAAAGGAGAGAAGGAATAGTTGCATAATGCATTTTGAATGTGGGTACTTGGATGCTGCCTGGGGAATGAAAGACCATACAAACAGAGGGTAGAGATCTGTGATCAGACCTCTATGAGTGTTTGCTCCATGTAGAAAAGTGACCTGGGGAGGCCCTGACAAAGCCCTAACCAGTGCCATGTACGTACAAAAGCTGGCTAGAGTAGCAGCTGAACCCTTCTTTGACACAAGCTCTGAGGTGGCATCCTCCACTGCACCTGAAGGCAGCAGGCTACCTGGCAGGGCAGGGCAGGGCAGGGCAGGGCAGGGCAGGCCACGCAGCGTAGAAGTCCTTCCTCCAACACCTGGCTACCACCTGCACGTTCTGCTTTGCTCTGCTCAACACTGAGCCAGTCTTGGTACGTGCATTCTTTAAAGTGAGTTAGTGCAATCAGCAAAAATGGGGATTGCATGGTGATAGGATCGCCTCCTCAATTAATGGGGAACAAATTCTCTAAACTTTTTGACACATCACTCAATTTATTCAAATTTTCCTGACTGCCCACTTGATAAATGCATGCAAAGCTCCTTCTTCAAAACTTTGTGTCACAGGGCTCCTTCCTGCAGATTCACTAAAGTAACAAAACACACTATTCCTCTACAAGTGTAAATACACAGATGATCCTCAACTTTAGAATTGCAGTTGTTTGTACAAAGGTGTTTAAAGTACACTAGAGGAAAGACAAACAAACTAGATATAAGGACTTCTCGGCAGAGCAGCCCCTCCCAACACTATATGTTGAGCTATACTTAATTCAGTTTGAGGAAGTACAGGACTCTGCTAAATTCCCCTTCAAGAACCTCATGACAAAAGAGGAAAATGTCTTTCATGGACACCTGCAGAGAGAAGTTCCGTCTTTGGGAAGTGTCATAGATCTTTCTTACATCTCCATATCATGCCCAAAGGCAGCAACAAGAAAAAATTTGTTGACTGTACTACTGTTTGGATGGGGGTGGGGATTCATTTGTGCAATTCTAATTACTTTTTGCTGGCTGGAGTAAAATGCCAACACATACCATAACCAGAACGAACTCACATCCCAGGACTCATTCGGATTTTTCCTTCTGTCACCCTTTATGTGCACATATCCACCCATTCACGTCCATCTCCACTAAAGAAAGAAACAAATAATGAAGAAACAGATTTTAATTTTGTACAAGAGAACAGAAAATAAATCCAGTTTTCTGTGTAATTCACAAGTCAGGAAGCATCTGTTGATCTACACCTGTTAGAGGAATGGTATATTTTCTTAGTTTAGTGAATATACATGAAGGAGCCACAATGGTACAAAGCTCTGAAGTAGTTTTCCCACATATTTATTAAGAGGGCAGCTTTCTCCCAGTGTACTGCGTAAAATTTTAAAAATGTGAGGGTCAGCATAACTGCACTGCACTCAGCCTTTGGGGCCTTTCCCCATATGCCAACTCCTTGAGAGGCTTGGAGGGTGACAACTAGGGGTGGGCCTGTTCTGTGGTGTCCCCCATCTTTGGAAAAACCTCCCTGCTGAGGCCTGCCTAGCGCCAAATTTGCCATCTTTTCAGTACCAGGTTAAGATGGAGGTCCCTAGTTGTTCAGGGGCCTGACACAATTATCCAGATGCCTTTTTTAATTCTTGGTCAGGTCTTTTTTATTGCCTTTTAATCTTCTTTAACACTATTTTAAATTAATCTTTCATTCTTGTTATTTTTATCTATTGCATTTTATTGTTTTTATACTTTGTTACGAACCACCCAGAGAGCTTCAGCTATGAGCAAATCAGAAATGAAATTAGTAGAAATAATAGCAGTAGCAGTCAGCAGCTACATCGGTCTGTTATATGGGGTGAGTGAGGATAGTTTTGGATCCATCCTTGCTTTAGACTGTATAATAACTTATGGCATGCTTATAAGAGAAATGCATATTGAGAGCAGCAACTGAGGGCGATGGAAAAGGTTTCAGATGGGCTGCAGCCAAACTTGGAATGACAGAGGAGCTGATAGGGGCTGCATTCCCACAAAAGACAATTTAGGATAATGTAGCCAACTGTGAAGGCACATGTGGCAGTTTGAGAAACTTTGCAGGACACTACAAAGGGGGACACTGCAGATGAAAGTATCCGCCTGCAGCCACCTGCCATCTTCATTTCCTAAGAATACCTGTGAGCAGCATGGATGATGCGGAGGCATTCATGAGAAAAGAAGATGGGAGTGGACAGAGTTCCTCCCTTTTCCTTGAACCAATCTCACCCGTCCGCAAGACACTTTATTTAAAAATGAGGAAAAGCAGGAGCAGTGGGACTCCACAGAAGCTCCAAGAAATATTCAAGGGTGCACTGGTGCCTGCATAAACCACTGTGTCTTCCCCTGGTGTAGGAGCCCTCCTGGACTAAAGGCTAAGCAGGGAAGCCGAGATGGTACCCTGAAGTGGTTTTTGCCAGCTTCAACTACCATGGCAACTTTGAAGTTTCTCACACACTAGTGACATCCAGGTTGGACTAGTGCAATGTGCTCTCCATGGGAACAAATCACATGGCACATTTCTGATGCAATAGGACCACTATAAACTTCAGATAGTGGGTTATTATAGCTGAGATCACACTCTGCCTGAAAAGCATACTTCCACCAACCTGCATATGGAAAACTTAAGAGATGTCTAAAGTAGAAACTTAGAAACAGAGTGAGTCAGAAGGGGTCTCCTGAGCTATCCAGTCTGACACCCAGCTCCTGCAAGCTCCATTCACGATATGTCTACCATGTGTGTGTCTATCCTATCCTTAAACATTCTCACCAATGGGGCTTCAACCACCTCCCATGGAAACCTGTTCAATACTCATTCTAGAAGCTTTCTGCTTGATGCATGCATATTTATCTTTCTTTCAAAATGTTTGCCTTGCTAAAATTGTTTCTTGGCTGTCCTGTCAGTATATCCATTATTTTAAAAGTTAGTATTTTAATGTACAGTCACTTTTTACTTATTTTTATTCACTCTATGTTATTTATTATTGCTAGAGATTGTTTGTGTATTTGATTTTAATGATTGTAATGCGTCCTGAGATGCCATGCATAAGGAATGGCATATACAAGTTTTAAATAATAAATAAATAATATCAAGAAAGAATCAACTTCTGGTATTTCCACTCAAGTTTTGTTTCCCACTGTATTATTTCACCACAGTTGGAGATGGTATTATCTCTCTGGCCACATCTTTGGCCACATGGAGAAGACTTACATGTTTATTTTCAGAGTCACAGCCAACATGGTTACAGCTGCCACTTACTGTGTTTCTTCCTCCCCGCCCCACCCCCACCCCACCCCCACCCCAGACTCTTCATGTTCTCTGGTCAAACTGGCTTACAGATTTATGCAAATACCTCAGCAATTACATGTGATTGCCTACTGGTGTAACTATCAAGGGCACTAGCGAACATCACAAGTAAATACTTCCCTTCCATACTTGTCACTGTTATTCAAATCTGTTATTTTTAAGTACATAAAAAGGAGAAGCACCAGTGTACATATTTACACATGTAAGTCCTTTCCCTTTTAGTAATTCTGCCATTCACACGTATTTATTGATTACTTCTTGGGAATGAAATTAACTAGAACAGAAATTACTTACTATCTAGTCTAGTTAATGACTATAGGACTAGTTAAGAACTGGGAAAGCAGTGAAGAACATCCCTCCCACCCCCAAGACAAATCCCCCCACCCATCCCTTTCTTCACTGATGCTTCTGCAGTTACCAAGCTACCATTGCTTTATCTAGATTAGAGCTGTGATAACAGTAAAGAGGAAGCCAAGCAGCAAAGGAAAAGGCAAACATAATGCAATGGCTAGACTAGAGGAATCTTTCCAAGTCTGCTGTCCTCCAGATGCTGTGGACTTTAACTCTCATCAGCCTCAACTGATGAGAGCCTCATTAGTCTAAGCATTACATGGGATGCACTACCCCATCACTATCTTCTGGAAGGGTTGGGTTCTTTGTTGTGGCTTTTCTCTGCCTATTTTACATAAAGCAAGTATGTAGAGTCACATCGCTTTCCCTTTGGCTAGTTTTCTTATTCAGACTTCTGCCTCCAATGTTTGATAGCCCATGGGGGGAAGTACAAGTATCTGCCTTGGTACTTTCAATTTCTTTAAAAAAAAAAAAAAGACAATATAGATACAGCCAAGGATCACATGTAGCCTGACTCTAAGTGGGTACCAAATCCTGGAACTTGTTCCTTTTAGCTTTTTTTCAGGTCCATCTTTTCCTCTCTGTATCTGTAGCTAAAACCTTTGCCCCTGTTCTGATCGCCCCGGTCCAGGCTACATAAGCAGTGGGGCCCAGAGGCATGGAGAAGGAAGGAGGCAGCAGAGCGGCCCTCTGGGCAGATGGCAGCAGCAGAAGCAAGTAGTAGTCCAGACAGCACTGCTTCTCCCCTGATCTGGCCACTGCCACTTCTGGCCTCGCCGTGCAGCACAGGTGGCCACTTGGAGGAACTTACACCACTCGCCACTTCTACTGCTCCAATGGGCAGGTGAAAACGGCAGAGAAAGGGCCGGCAGCCAGCCAGCCACAGGGGCAAAACACCTGCTGCCACTGCTTCTCTGCATTCCCTCTCCAGCCCCGCTTTCCCAGTGCTCAAGGGAGTGTTGGCAAGAAAGGAAAATGAGAGCTGCCCAGGCAGAGGCCAGAGTAGTGCAGGTAGCAGAGGATGGACGTGGTGGTGTGGTGAAGCTGGAGCTCGTAGGGACGCAGGACTGGCATTCTCCTATCCTCAGGGGTGCTGACGTCATGCCCCACCTCCTTCAGAACTTCTCTATTCTCTCTGAACTTAACTGGAGATCCTCATAGTAGCTGGGGGAGGGGGGATTTCTGCAGGAATGCCATGTTGGTTAAGGCACTTTGGCAGTATAGAAATGTGACAAATAATAATCGATTCAAGTTTTGACAACCCAGATTCAGGCTGGACATCAGGAAATGCTTCCTCACTGTCAGAGCAATACGACAGGTGGAACCAGCTGCCTAGAGGTGCTGAGCTCTCCCACACTAGAGACTTTCAAAAAGAAACTGGACAGCCAGCCGAGTGGGATGGCGTAACTTGGTGTCCTGCAACAGCAGGGGGTTGGACCTGATGGCCTTCACAGCTATTCTGTGATTCTATGAATATTATTCATTGCCTTTTTGTGTGCAGGGTGGCTTCCTCCTGAATGAGCAATGAGACCCACTACCTTTACAATAGGTCTGCACCTGGCAGACGATGATTCATTGCATTTCTATACTGGTCACAGCAAAAGCTCTCTAAGCGATTCGCATCAAGTCACCCATCCAGATTTCAACCAGGCCTGATCCTGCTTAGCTTCCAAGATTACAAAACTGCCTGTATTTCTTGGATTGTCCAGGGGCCGAGTGGCCATGGGGACTGTCGAGACAAAGAATCTGCATTTTAAAAATTTGCCATGATACCAAAGGGACAAAACCACCATTGAGGGTAGGGAAAAAACTCTGACGGGGTTCCTCAAACCTGGAGCCAGCCTTGGGTGTGCAGTTTATCGAGCGCCTTGTATCAATCCCATTAAGGTTCTGGGGAAAATAAAATGGGCACTGCACTCTCCCTTTGGACTAGGCTGTGGTGGGAAATAAATATGAAAATCAAGAGAGCTATGTATATTTCAGAAATGTATTAAACTATCTCATGTTCAATGTACATGAAGCAGATCCTTTTTTTTTAAGAGAACAATGACCCAGGAATAAAGAAGCACTTCCTCTAGGTTGAATATCAATTGATTACCGTGAAATCAGGGACAGAAGCCCCATGTTTAACCAGATAATCACTAATTGTTACTTCTTTCAAGATAGAGTCTCAAGCTTTCTTGTTTTATAGCAGTCTGTGGAAGCAAACCTCCAAAGCAGTACTAGGATGTATAATGTTTAAATGAATTAACCAATCTCTAGTAACACAGTTAATCTGCCTGGGTAACTCTTCACACTTTGAGATAATTGCTTACAGATGTCCTGCTTTTTGAGTATTTCGAGTTCCTGTTGTCCAAACACTTTGTTTTCTTCTAAGGTCTAGAAAATGCTATCTATAAGCAGTGGGGGGAGGATAATCGGCTGAATCCTTAACAGGCAGAGTTCTGCAATGCAGCAAT